AAGAAACCATTCATCAAAATCCTCCTAATTTTTCATTTTATCATCATAGACACGACTATGAAAAACGAGCAAACTTTTCAAACAGCCGTTTTTTCTCCATAAACAAAGTAATATTACAAGTGTAGATTCCAAATTTGGTTAACCAAAAAGACAGATCTCTTCATAGAACTACATAAACAACATAAGACAAGTTGAAGAAGCAATTCTACATTATACTGCCCTTTATTTGAAACAATTTAGTTGCATTGATTGGAAGCATGCATACCTAATGATGAACATACTTTTAAATTCTGAAGACGTTTCCATGAACTTGTCTTGCATGAGCATTGCTAAATGCCTAATGCTGGAGACTTGTAAGACATAGGAATTGCACCAGAATAAGGCAGAGAGAATCCATTGAGAATCATACTGTGGCACGGATTTCAACTTCTATATCATAAAGCAAACAAAAATGAATCTAAAGTTACCTAAAAACTAAAGGAAAATGATAATTTTACACCCAAACCCTGTTGTACACCGTACTTGTAGCATTGTTGAGTAGTTGTGCAATTACTAGCGAGGAAGATGCATTTGCACCAGGAGCTAGTGAGAGAAGGAGAGCAATGGTGACTGCCATGTTCATTTTTGGAGACTGACATTGATAATGGGAACAACAATAATCTGCCTTCTTTTGGTAAAGCCAACTATTTTCCTAATGGTATTGACTTCAATAGTGGACCAACGGGAAGGTTTTCCAACGGTTATAAGTTTATAACATGATTGATACAATCGGTAATAAACGCTCTAGCTTTGTATACCAATATTTTAACTTCTGTTTCTTAGTGTAAGATCAGATCTAGCGCACCGAACGTACCATTAGTGCATGTTTGCTATGCCATGTTGGACATGACTCACAAATGTAATGAACAAGATTATCATATGTTTGGTAAGGTGGGTTAAAATTTTGTTCTTAGTATCCACTTTAATGTAATAATATGTATTCAGCTGAATTGCTTAGACTGCCTTTGATTCCTGCACAATATGAAGCAAGATCTGGTGATCAAATGAGATATGGAGTTAATTATGCCTCTTCTGCTGGTGGTATTCTTGATGTTACAGGCAGAAACTTTTTACTCACGGTATGGAACTTATTTGTGTTGTTCCTAGCCCCCGTATTGAACAGTTGCTATAAACATA